GGGGACATTTAGAAATAACTATAATATCATTTTTGATATATATTTTATTTTTTCAAGAGCAATCAAAGTTTTTCCTAGGATACTGTTGCCCCTGCTCCCACAGGCTTCAGTCAAAAATGCAGGAAGAAGTGATTCTGTAGACCTTTACAGGCTTAGAAAATACAGACTGTAACAGTAACTCAAAGCCTCTTTGTCTCTTTCAGCCTTTTGTACTCCCCGAGGAAGCATCTCTGAATCTGTACCTTCAGCAATATGGAACTCTCAAAATCTGAGTGTCTGCACAAGGAAGCCCTCCACAGCATTGCCTTCAGCAGTCACCAGACAATGATAAAGATATTGCCAAACACTTGAAGCTGGAACAATGTTTTCAGGTGCAGAGGAGAAACTTCAAGTAAGTGCAAACAATACACAATGTACTCTCTGTCCCTGTCCAGCCTTCAAACTTTGCACAGTTTCAAGTGTAGGGTTCCAACTGAAACATAAAACTTCAGGATTTTAGATCATGGTTTACATTCCTGCTGTTTCTGACCTAGTTAGAGACACTGCATTAGAAATGCCCTGCATGTAAATAAATCTTTGCCTCCAGTCATTTAAAGTCTGGAAAGGTTGTATTTACAAAAACAGGCTGAACTTCAACTCAGAGGTTTTTATTTCCCTGGCACTCTATAGAACTCACCATACTGAGTTGATAGCATTTGCAAAGATGCTGCAAACCTTTCATGCTCTCCTTTCTACTGTACACTGCCATATAGCTAAAACCTCATGAGGACTGAACCACTAAGAGGAAAGGAAGCATAACAACTCCTAGTGGAACGTAATGATGAAAAAGGCTAACAAACATAAATGCTACAGGCAGTAGTAGTATAAAAGAGGAATGAATGAAAACACTTTGACATTAAACTATACCAAACCAAATACACACTTAAATGACCTGGAGTCACTCTCAACACATTTCCTCTTCAGATCTAATAAAAATGAGTTTTTTAAGAAAATCAAATTGCACTAATTATTGAAACTTATGGATACTGTCTGAAGAATTCAGCAAAGTGGGCTCTTTTAGTTATTCTCTATTTCTAATTTAAACCTCAGCCAGGCAGAAAACAATGCCCTAGTGGTTCCCATTTACGGAAAATAAATCTGTTCTCCAAATCTGCATCTTGTTTAGGACGGCATGACAAACATGCACCAAGCTACTGCAAGGTATACACCTTGCACTTGCAGAGTATTAGCTGCATTTCTCAGGTAGAGAGACTCCTGGAAAAGGCAGCTTCAAAATCTGAGCAGAGCTCCACGGGAGATCTGCTGTGTCAAAGCATGTTTGACTTGCTGTTTCTGTTAGCAGCAAGATTTTCAGCACACATGTGCTCTCCCTGAATAAAAACAGAAATTGTTGGTCCTTGTGAACTTCTGAAAATCTGTATCTAGAAATCAGAATGCTGTTCAGTGCTGTGACTACTGCCACTGGCATTTTTGACAGAGGAAATGCATTTAGAGGCTGACCTGAAATTGAAGAGAAATACTCTTCAATTATGTTATCAGAGTTTTTGAACATCTAGACTAACTGCTGACAAAGTCTAAGAATAATACAAAAAATATGCAAATAGTAGAAAATTATTAAGTACCTGTCAATTTTGTAGGTCAGTCTGAAATATCTGTCTAGGCAGGCTCATCTAAACAGCATCTGTTGTAGTACATGTGAAACCACATACGGAACAGAGCTATTCAGAGAGCACAGGTCAATTGATCATACCCTGTAAGGCAGCAGTTCTGAAGTGACCGGACAACTATAGGACATGAGCATTTGCAGTGTATTGTTAGCATCATCCGCCGAATGAGACTGAAGGGACTGGGTGTACATACAGCAGAACTATCAAAAGTACCAACTCAAGATTTCTCATGCAACGGTTTTTGAATCTCAAAAACCCCTACTTTTGTTGTTACTGTCATTTGCAATCTTTAAAGTTGTTTTATTTTAATTAGGGAAGGTAAGATGTGAATGTTTTCTGAAATGTCTGCAGTACGGTTGAAATTTATCAGACCTTCAAGTCATTTAGCTAAGCTTTTAGATTAAAGCCTTTCTCAGTCTCAGAGTGACAGCCAAATGCCTGGCTACTACACTGTTGCATATATACTGGTGCTAATAGGTTTTGATAAAGTTACAGATAATATTTTTCTTTTTAATATAAAATGTTAATATTAAAATTAGATATAGAATTTCTTATAGCTGAATAGGCTCATGCTGACCTAGCCATTTAGAAATGCGACTATCCATTTGTTGTTATATAAAGGAAGAATACCTGCCAGACCTCAGACTGAAAAAAATGCCTTTCAGTATGAGTACAATCACTTTGAACTAACTGCTTTTAAAGAATCATCCCAGCATACATTTAAACTAAGCTCTTCTATCCAAATCTAAATGGTACTTGTGGATTCATCATCCTGACTGCAGCATGGTTTCTAGATCAAGCCTTGAAGCTGATGTGATTTGAGCATGCATTTGATCCACTGTGCATGTATATGAAATGGCAGCACTGCCATCAGAGGCACATTTATCACAGAGAAAGGAATTTTTTAATACCCAGAGAGGCTTAAAAGCTCCCACTTCCTCCAGATATTTCACAGTTGCATAGATACATGTGCATAGCCATACTTCCTGTTGTGCAGCATTTGTGATTGTGAGTTTTCTTTAACTTCTTTCATGTTCAGAAGCATGCTGTAGTTTTGTAATTACTATCGAGACTGGCACATAAGCTAATAAAAATCAATTATCAGCTATGAGATTGGAGGAACAAAACAGAGGAAGAGCAGCAGGGCAGCAACTGAGCTTATGAAATTAAGAAAAAAAATTACAAGTAAATGTATGTCTCATCCTGACAAGTGAGGCACTCTGCCTCTCTGTCATCCCTTTCATCATGCAGATGACTACTCTCAGCACATAATAATGCAATACCTCCTGTCCACTGAATTTCTATAGTGGCTGCCAACTGTTTGGATAGCTTCTGGATAAAAAAGGATTAAAAAAACACATTTCACAAACCTTTTTAAGAACTCCATAGCTTTTAAATATTTTCTTCTCTCTTTAATTTTTTTTTTTTAATTACTATGAAGCCTAGTTACTCTTTACCAGTGGACAAAGAGTGCCAACCATACCAGATCTAGGGGGCTTGAAAACAAACAAGTGGGAAAATTAATAATAAGTACTCATATTTACATTTGTTATAAAGAAACCTTTGTGTTGGAGGAAGCTAGATAATAAATGGCATGCCATCTGGTTTGCCCAGGGACAGGGCAATGAGATCTGCAGATTACAGCTGCTCCTAGATAGGCATTATTACCCAGTAAACCCAGTGCTTGAACAGAATTGGCCCATGAAGAAAGAACAGCAGAGGCAAACCAAGAAAGTGCTTCAGTTGGCAGGCCGAGGAAGTAGTGATGCTGGCAGCTACAACTGCAGGTTCAGCTGGGAGGCTGGGTGCACTACTTGATTTCCCTGGCTTTGCTAAACCTTAATGGCAGCATCTTTGAATAATACTTTCAGCTATCTCCTGTTAGGAAGAGGATTCTGTCTTATTTCTTGAACAGAGCAGTGTTTATGGCTGTGTACTGTGTGTACTGTGTACTGCTGTGAACTACAAATGTGTAACAGCGAGCGCTCAGCATGATGCCTCCAGCATGCACAAAATGTGTAGAACATCCCTTTGGCATAACAAGTCACAGTGAGAAAACATGTTTTCCTCAATTGAGTGTCAAGCAGAGACTCCTCTCAGATACATTTAATTGTCCAAAAGCTAGCTGTTTGGTCTGTCCTAGTCATGCAAGCTTATTGGTTCTCTAGTAAATGGAAAGATGTTCACAAGAGCAATTTGGTACAGTCATACAGCCAAAGATCCCATTTCTTGTAGAGCAGAATTAAGCTAAGGTTCTCAGTTCTCATTTTCAGAGTGTTGAATGACCAGGCTCACCAAAAAACCCTCCAGATGTAGAGAGAGAAGGTGCTCCATGGATTCAGTAATGCTTTCTACCACAATAATAAGTAGGAGAGCATGAACAGAGAAAGTTTTTTCTTGGAGAGCCTGAGGCTAGGCAACAGTTCCTATTGGAAACCAGTATTGCAGCATCACTGCCTTTAAGTGTGAAACACATTTCTGCCATTTCCATCCCAAAAGAAGTACACAGTAGTGCATATCTTAAAATAAATGAATAAATAAAAGCCAAAGAAGCATACTGAACAAATCACACAAACTCTGAACCAAATCCTCTGTCAAACACAGTTCTCCCATGGGAACATTATGCAAGACAGCATGTGGAGCACACATGACAAATGCTATTTGTATCACTCAGAGCACTGCTAGGAGGCTCTTAGATATTAAAATAACTTGCAAAGGGAGTTAACTCTAGCTTTCCTTTTGGGTTAGCTTTACTTAAAAAAGCCTTAGATTGTTTGGATCCTGACTGACCCACGTCTGATTGAAATGACACACTTTTATGGAGACATCTTGAAATCCACATAATAAAAGGTAATAAAAGTATCATCCATTTTAGGTTCTGTTATTCTAAGGAAGCTTGCTCATCATTTTTATGCTTGAGGCACAAGACTGGCAACATAATGTATAACCAGCTACAGTTAAAAACTACATAAAGAAAAATTAAATTAAAAGACAACCCCACAAATGGTTTCTCATTTTTTCCCACAAAATATGGAAACACTTTTTGTGTCTTAGCAGTTATTCTCCACACTAGCATGTTGCTGGTTTTAGAAGTATGAATAACGCACATTAGCCAGCATCACAGAAAACACAATGGTTACAATTAACTATATGCAACACATTTTAGAGTATTCATTGTCTGTCCATAAAAAATCCCAGTGTATATTTGAGTATAGGAATACCTGGGCACTGCATTTGGAGGTAATTTTTCCAAAACAACTTGCACTGTCACAGCAGGTGAGTGATATCAAATATGCTCTATGCCACTTACTATGAATTCCAAGTTTTACTTACCAATCCTGAACAGCGTTGAAAGATTCTTCGTTCGTGATGTCATACATTAAAATGAAGCCCATTGCACCCCGGTAGTAAGCTGTGGTAATTGTTCTGTACCTCTCTTGACCAGCTGTGTCCTGAAATAACAAACAGAATTTTTATGTGTTGCAAATAATTGACAAATCCTTATTCATTATTTTTAACAGAAAGAACACTCTGACAACAATATGGTATAACTCTGCAATTCTACTCATAAAACTAATTAAGAGGAAGAAAACTGGGAATAACAGGAAAAAGGAGAATTCTGCACTGGATCATAATAGGAGGGACATATCCCTTCTGTCATGAGGTGAGAGCAGAGAGAAACTGAAAGGCATGATCCTTCTTGTCAGTTAGAACCCCCAAGTTCTTCCTTCTAAGGGATGCTCTCTATCCAGTCTTGAAAAATGTATTCTTGATTACAGCTGCTACTACTTAAACTTACTGTAGTTTCAGTAATTCAAGATGTAAAACTAGCAGAAGTTAGACAACATGTCTCACAGAAGGTTAGGTTATGTCTCTCTGGATAGGACAGACTACCCTTAAATTTTTGTTTTTATACTCTGAGCTGGCTAAGCCTATATGAACTGTAGTCTGGAGGCCAGATAGCTGCTCCCAGATTTTCCGGTGGTATTACTCAATATTAAGGTACTAAAACTCTTTCACTAAGACTGTATATTCCAATACTCAGATAAGTTCATTCTCAATAGGTCTGCTAGCAAGATAAAGGTATCATTGAAACGTTGAATAAAATAATTTCTTAGCAGAAGAAATATCATATAAAACCATTTCTTTGTATTTCTTTAAGGGAATAAGGTTTACTGCCACGTTTTGCTGCCTTATTTGATATTAGAGAAAAAAGCTGGGAGGGACAAGGAAAATATGGCTTGTAGCAAGCATGCAGTCTTTCTGTACAGAAAAGATATGATTTTCAAATAAATTTTGGCAGTATCTATCTGCTTTTTTGTCAGAGACATATATGGTTTGAAATGCAACGGTATGACAAGCAGGAGCCCACTGCTACTGAAGAAAATCTTATTTTGCTGCAGGTGATTTCCACTGAAACTTGTCTGCAGATAAGAGTGAACAGCCCTAGCAATAAAGACATAAGTCAGGGATGCTTCCTATACAAGACAGCAATTATTTCCTGTACATAGTTAAAGGTAGCTAGTGCAGGCTTACGCAGTCCTGACTACAGGGAATACAACATGAGTGTAAAAGAAGATAAATCCAGACAAAAAAGAAAATTTTGTAAAGTGGTATTTCAGTACATGGCATAGATGGATGACCACGAATAAAGTGGAGTTTATTAGTTTCAAGCATTGATAATTACATTCCTGTTGGTATTATTTTCCATTCACTTGCTATAGGAATGCAACTAAAAATTCTAATTGGTCTAATGTACAAATTATGTAGGGAAGTGTTTATGATCATGTAAGAAATGAACCCAAATATCAGTAATCAAAGCAATTGTGTTCCATATATTCATAAACATCTCCTTTGTATTCTGATTAGAATATATTCATAAATGTCCTCAAGTCAGCTCCTTTTCTCTGACCATTAGTGGTCTCAAAACACCATTTGTCAGGAGAAATTGAATATTAGTCTCAGTTAAAACAAAACAAAAAGGGTTTAGCAGCTGCAAGAAATATTTTCAAATATTATATTCACTTTCATAAATTCTGTTGTCAATAAAATTCCCACAATTCCATCAGCTTCTGGTTAGGTGATCCTATCTTAGTGACTCTTTTTTTAATAGGCACTAGATTTCAGATATCAAATCACAGAGTTATAAGGTTCAGTGGACATAGTACTTTAGAAATTATCCAGTTTCTGAGCATTGCATACAGCATGCTGGTTAACAGCCCATGGTCCCGAGAATTTGGAATACTCAGACTTGTACACTTGGTGTGCTCTGATGTCTCTAGGACATTTTCATTTTGTTTGTTTGTTTATATTAATTATCCCACCCATAACTGAGATTAGATATTTGCAAACATTTTTATGCTCCACATCCTGATATGTATAATTTCATATTACAAAAATTAACCACTTTTTTTCCAGAAATTCAATACCTAAAAGGACTGCTAAACCTTTCCCACCAGTAAAGATCTTGCATAGGGCATTACGTATATATATATGCACTGAAATAAGAATGACAGAGACGTAGATTGAGAGCAAAATAACTCTTTCTGTGTCAGGGTGAAGACAGAGATCTGGTATGTATCTGGATGACTCTCCTCATCTATCTATCTATCTAGTTATCATGTATATATATGCTTATGTATATAAATAGCTATAAATGTATAAAATATAAAATGTATAAATGTATAAAAACTATGAGATAGATAAGTCTAGATTACTTTGGCTCTTCATTTGAGTTTGTTATGAATTTGACAGTACAATGAACTTTAAAGCCAGGATACATTAGTCATTTTTATAATAACCACATGAACCAGGTTTGGTCCCGTGCTTCTCCCTTGAAGCAACCCTTAAATAATCTCATGGGAAATCTCCTACAGATTCTCATTATTGCTGTGTAACTGCCATGTTATTGAAGGCATTTGTGTATGGGGAATGCACCAGCTGCTGACAACAATGCTCCCAGAGGAACGGAGAGATACAATGTCACAGCCATCTGTGCAAGTGGAAACACTCAGGAATAATAACCTAGGAGGCTCAAGAAGAATTTGTACTCCACATGAAGTTAAGAGTTTATGGGGCTTGAAAAGTCTCAAAATACAAAACAGAGAAACCAAGGTTCCGATAGTAATCTTGAAAACAATATTTAAGCTTGCGAAGTACACTTAGCTGAGCTAACTCAGCAGAAGTAAATCCCCCTTACAGTCAACTCCTGCTAGATTTCACCCAGTATCTGTCACACCAGCTTAGCCTATACCAGTAATTTTGAGAAATATGGTAAATCAGGCCTTTAAATTCATTTGCTGAGTGTGTGCTCTCCCTCCCACCCTTGACTTGCACAGCATCACTGACAAGAACAATATTTTATGTAAATAACTTCCAAGTGGAGTTACTCATTACTGATGCAGACAGTTTTGAAGGTGAAAGAAAACAGCATTTGGCAGCAAGAACTTCTAATGAGCTTGGTATGAAGGAATTCAGTCTGTAAAACGCAAAATTATTTTGTAGCATGCTTGAGTGACTCTGTGCCTCCACATTTCTATCCTGTATGCTAAACATACAAATATCCTTCTAGATGCACTACTTCTCTCCCGCCCCGTTACAAGTTTTACTCATACCACAACACAGCTTGTGTTATGTCCCAAAAACCTGACAGCAATAGAAGAGGATACCTTGGATGGTGTTTATATATCTGTTTTACATCCACAATATTTGAAGACAAAGCAAACAGAAAGATAAAATTAGAAATGTGAATTGGATGAGTTCTCACTTTGTGGGTCAAAATTCTCTGTTAAGGTAAATGAAACTCGAACAACAATCAACTGCTGCTCCTTTATGAGCTCCCTGTTTCTTTCCTTCTCTTGCTGCTTAAAGGCTATTTACATAATCCATCAAAGAGACTGCATTTCTCTAATTTCTCCTATTTCTCTTCGAGGCAGTTAAGTGAATGAAAATCTAAACTCTCTTTTGGGGCAGCACAAAAGACAGCTCCCTTCTTTTCATCAGGGATCTCCGGGGTCTCACAGGGAAAAAGGCTAAAAGTATGAAAAGCAAACAAACCAGTAAGACAGCTGCTCTGAGAGGGGCAAGGGACAACCTCTGCAACAACCCTCCTGAGATGGGGAGCAGACAGGCGTAAACCCACCTGAAGCCTGCTGCTAACCACCCAGGAAGAGCAGCCATGGGTTTATAGCAGAAGCAACTGGTCAGGGGAGGACACGGAGGAAGAGGAGCTGACTATCCCAGGAGCACCATTTCTCAACAAATAGCACTTCCAACAGAAAATGCTAGGCATGTAGGAACACAGAGATATGAACATTTACAACTAGGAATGGAAAACACAGTTCAAAGCAGTTTCTAGAGCTAACGTATGCACACACAATGTAACACTGCATATTGCCTACTCCATCTTTGCTTATATATCTATCTCCCATCAGTAGCTCTTTCCAGACTTTTCATGGCTTTGGTTTCCTGAAATTCCATCTTGTATATACATACGTGTGTGTGTGTGTGTGTGTATAGATGCATATATATATATACACACATATACATATGCGTATATATATATACACACATATACATATGCGTATATGTATATATACACATACACATGGGTCTGCATTTGAGCATGTGTGCGTGTTTGTAGAAATATATGTATCTATTTCAAAAAAACATTTGGAGTATGAAAAGCCAGCTACTCAGCCTGCCATTACACAGCTGCTAGACCTATATGCTAGGCCTTAGAACTCTGATCAAAATCACAGCTGACAGTTCATTCACTGTGCGGAAGGGATATGGGAGCATGACAGAGCCACCTGGAAATAGCTGGTGCCAGGGCCGTGGGGAGACGCATTACTCTAAATGTGGCTACTAGAAAGAGGCCTGGGAGGGCTGCCCAGGCAGCAGAAGATGGGGCAGAGCTTGCACTAAATTTTGTCTCCCAAGTTGGGTTGTAAAACTACTTTACTGTCAGATTTGCTTTACCTCGCTCCATCCATGCAACTGGTGACTGTGCCTGAAGTTAATTTTCTTTTAAATTTACTGGTTTTCTCTTTTCCTGTTCTTTCTTCTCTCCTTTTTTTTTAAGACTTGCATAAAGTGTTCCTTCTCTGCAGTTCAGCACCATGCCTTACTAAAATACAAAGTTTAGGAAAGCCATGGTATCCCTGCCTCCTTTCTCCAGCACAGCTTGATGCCAGCTGCTCTCAACTCCTGACACAGGATTTGAGTCCTACTGCTGTTTAAGTACATGCTTCCCTCCTTTCCCACCATCAGCTGCAGCTTCCTCTGGGTCCTGTCTTCGCTCAGATCATGCCCTGTCCTGCTTTGCTGCAGGTGAGGATCAATTCTTATTCTCCTTCTTCCCCATCTTTGGACATACTGTGTAATGCAGCTGTTAGATCATTTGTTTTAAAGCTCCTGCTCCCAGAGTCCTGTGATTCTGTAAGAACAGCCA